TTTTAACTTAAAAATGAAATTGATATATACTATTAGACATTCATATATGAAAACATTTAAAACTTCTGATCAAGTATCTTACCTTTATAAGGATGGAAATGGAAATTCATATCATACATATATGAATACGTTTAGCCCAGCAAAAAAGTAAACATGTTCAGTTGTTTCTTTATTTTTACAACTACAATTTAGATTTTCCTTCACTTTTGACATAGATTCCTAATCTAAATTAGGTAATCTTCATACATTTAGGGTGTTTTTAATTGGACTGGTTTCAGTCTTAGACAAGATCGGATCAAATATCAATCATAATTATTATTATTATTATTATTATTATTATTATTATTATTATTATTATTATTATTATTATTATTATTATTATTATTATTATTATTATTATTATTATTATTATTATTATTATTATTATTATTATTATTATTATTATTATTATTATTATTATTATTATACATAAAATAGACATCTTCCTGACCAAGTTAGAAATGAACATGTCAATCTAATTAAAAATATCCTTATTAATGACATTTTCAATGTGACGAAATAAATGAGTAAATTGTGAAAATGACCCCTTTTTTACATTTCAATGTGACAAAATAATGAGTACAATGTAAGAGCTCACTAATAAATTTACAAATACTTATTTCATACCACATGTTGAATGAGAAATATTTAAAAATAGTTTTTTAGATGCTTAATGAAGTAATATAGAGGATGTGAAATTAATTAAGAAACTTTTATATGAATTCTTTAAAATCGGGTTCATAACCTTTATGTTTAGTTGAGATGCTTATGTAGAAGTCCAATTTAAATATTTTTCATATAAATTTGAATTACTTTTATTAATTATATATGATTTCGAAAATATCAAATATACAGTTAGCTAAATTATGTACTACCCGTGCATCGCACGGGCTTGAAAGCTAGTATATATAGTAGTAGTATATACTACTTGAGAGTAATGATCATGTCCAGTCGGAGGGACATGATGCTCTATCCGGCCGCCGCCGTTTGAGGCGGTTCCCGGTGGAATTTTTTGTTGAAATTTTTGAAACATGTTCTTCATCAAGTCTAGTTTATCCTCAAAACATTTCAGCTGAAAATTCGTTCGGGAAAGCAGTAAAATAATTTCTTGAAGATAACTGTGCAAAAATATACATATAAAATGCAGTTATTTCCAAATTTTTAGTTGACTACCTTCCCGATTAAACTTTTAGCTAAAATTGTTTGTGGATAAACTAGACTTGATGGGGAACATTTTTAAAAACTTTCATTAAAGAATTCCACCAGTAACAGCCTCAAATGGCGGCGACCGGACGGCGCCTCCTATCCATCCGGATTGAAAGGATCTTTTTCCTATTACTCAATTAATGCTACATATATTGTTGTGTATATAAGATACCACATCACTATGTAGTGTGTATTACCGTAATGGATAAGCACATTGGCAGAATGGTAGCAGCAATGACCACCTGAAGCAACATGGGCATAAAAGGGACAATAAATATGGAAATTATGATAAGAATGTTACAAGAGTTCATCATAAATAGAATCATTAGTGGTTAACAGTTATGTTTCTAATAATTATCCTAGACTACACATATAAACACTCCTGTAAGTGACTTGTAAACCTACATTCACTAGCATAATAAATTAATAATACTGCACTTACGTTACTAAAATATTTTATGTTCACCTACTCTAAAACCCATCGTCAGATTAGCTCTTGAAGCCGTTGCAGGTGGAATTATTCCCCATCATATAGTATAATAATGTGGTTTGGATTGATTAATTGTGCTCTTGTTTGGTTTGAAGTTGTGTAGTTTGAGACTGAAATTTTACAAGTTAAAACATACAGAGTTCCAAATATTTTTGTTTCTTCTACCTATTTTTGTATTGCAATTGTTATATTAGATCCAAGTTCTTTGAAGTAATGAAATGATAGTGTAGTTCTGGTTCTCATTGGCGTAGCATAAATTGTATTAGAATTGCATTATTTGAATTGTGTCGAAGAGTTTGATATCTTTCAAAACTAGTGTGTTTTTTTATGTACTTCGCGTATCATTTGCAAATAACAGAGTGCTTGTTTTTTTGCATACTTTTCGTGCTCTTCTCTCAGTCTCACTCTTCTCGAATTTAACTCAATACTATCATGTCATTGTTTGTTTAACGTTTTTTTTCATCGAAAGAATCTTGAGTCTCAAAAAACTCACTTCAAACTCGGTAAACTCAAGCCACTACAATAATTCATTAGGTTGTCAACCGCTCTTAACTAATTGGTTTCACGTGTCCTCAAGATAAATCCCTCACTACTATTTGAGGTGAGACTCAAACATCGGTTGCTTGATCACTCAAGCTAGCCCCAGAGTTAGAAGATCATTTGAGAAACAAATTTCAAATTCACCAACTTGATAACTTGATCTTAGAACCTCTCACATGGGGAGAATCTTAGATGTGGGATGCCGTTGACTTGAATCTTATTGTGCTGACACATTTCTTTACTATATATAGTATGTACGGTCTGTACTTTTAGATTTGCAATGTATAATTTATCTTAAAAAATTGCATATACTTTTAAATTGTGTTAATGCTAATGGATTAAGATAAAAATATTACTAAAAATTAACCAATTAATGGACAAAAAGAAATCTTTTTCAATTTCCAAAAAAGAGAGTAAGAGACTATTACACATTTACACCCTTACTTTATCTCACCTCACTAGTGCTATAATAACCCTAGAATAACCAATGCTCCAGTGACAACTGTTGTCACAATGATCAATGCCGCCATCAATCACAGTGACCAATGTCGCTGCCGTTGGTAACAATGATCATCTGTTCACAGAGACAGTCACTACCCCCAAAAGTGAACACCATGGCCGATCAATGATCACTCTTTCACAGTGACTGATGTGGGCTAATCATAGTTATAATTGCTCAATGACCTGGTTTTCAATCGTCTCCGTGCGATCACATCGTTCCTCACCGATAACGGCACCACGACCCCGCCGGAGCCTTGGTCGTTGCCCTGGTGGTTGAGACCCCTTACTGCCCTGGGTTCGCCTGCCCCCACCTCACTCCTTAGCTCCATGCTCAGCTCCCCAGTCCCAACCAACAAAGCCGCCTTTGCCTCGGTAGCCGCCACCCTGGTCCACCCTGCCCCATTAGACTCGGTGCTACCCCACCCACACCCATTGAAAATCCTAACCGTCGCGGCCGCAAATTTGAAAAGTTAGTGCCACAACCGCTGGATTAACCCTTGTCGGGAAGAAGACAATTCAAAATCAGAGAAGGAGATATAGAACAAAGAAGATAATTTGAAATCTGAAGTTAGAGATGTTGTCATCATCGTCTGTCTCGTCGTCAGTGCGGGATTGTCATCGTCATTTGTCATAGCTCGCTCGTGCCACAAAGTGTGACTACGATGGAGGCAATTGCGGCATTCGAGATCAATGGCCGTTGCAGGTTCCGTCTAGATTCATGGTTGGAGAAGGTTTCAGATGGACACTCTCTGCTCCCCAAATCGATGTGAAGAAGAAAGGGACGAGAGGTTTCAAAGTGATGCAGAAAAAAGGGATTGAAAGTTAAAATTTTAGGGATATTTTGAACATTTCATAATATTTCAGACTCTTTTTTGTCCTAAATGGAAAAGTGATCCTACCTTTGTCTAATAAAAAACTTAGAGTTGTAGTTTTGTCATTTTCTCCGATTGAAATATCTATTTGTGATCTATTAATTTTGTTTAGTATCAGAAAGTAAGTGTAACGACTCTTCCATTCCTACAAAAAAAGCTGTTAGGACAAAACTTCTTTTTTCAAACAGCATTCTCATCCCATGCTCGATCATAACTACACCCATATGACCCATATCTAAACACCCAACCCGTCCGAGGACACAACTTAGACAAGAAAAATGACCGTGTCTATTACGAGTACACATTAAGAATAATAGAGACGTTTTTGTAGCGTGAATGATGAGACAATCATATGTCAACTCATCGAATCTAAGAGACAATCCTAATTTATGCATTAGCTTGCACTCCTCCACTTAGTGCTTCTCTTGCCCCATCCCACCCACAATCATTCCCTTTTCCCAATTCCCATCCGGCCTACCAAGTAAGAATATCCATCCATACAAGCATCTATGATTCTATATAGGATAACCCCGAACTTTTCCGGAACCCGGAACTGTTCCGAAACCCGACACAGTTCCGGAACCAAAAACCGTTCCGGTCTAGGCCGATCGTCTCTGAGTACAAGTAGGGCTAAAGGGGGTATCAGAACTTTAAACGGATAAATCTAGGCATGGACCCGGTTCGGGCCGCCCGGCCCAGGCCCGGCCCGGCCCGCCACTGTGCGGGACCGGAACCGGCCCGGTTCTCGGGTCCGGGTCCGGGTCGGGCCTAGGCCCGGTGGGGGGGCGGGTCCGGGCTCGTGCCTTGTATTTGGCGAACCGGCCCGGACGGGTCGGGCCCGGGCCTAATTGATTTTTTTTTTCATTTTTGGGGTAGACCCGGGTTGGGCTTGATGGTTAGGAGGGGTTTGGGGGTTTTGGGGGGGTGGGGGGGGTGAGGAGGGGGGTTAGGAAAGCAAAAAAAAAAAATTAACCAAACTGGAGGTCCGGCCCGGCCCAGACCCGGACCGGACCCGGTGGCTACCCGGGCCGGTCCCGGGCCTTCCTTCCCCAAAAAAAGCCCGGCCGGGCCCGGCTCGGAACCGGAACCGGCCCGAGTCCATGACTAGATAAATCGGTTGTCGACCCAAAACAGTTCTTATCAGATTTTAGTCTTACCGTGGACTTGTGGTCCTTGTGGAGGAACAGAAATCAGATCCAGTCCGGTTCCGGTCATATCTTCAATTTAACTCTCACTAGTTCTGCTAAGGCGGGTAAGTGCAGACCTTGGTCTGGGGTGCAATACCTTTTTAGGGCATTATAACCTATGTAAATTCTTACTTGCCCATCATGCTGTAGTAACTAAAAGAATAATTTAGCAAGAAATCAAAAAGCTATTGAAAAACAAAGTTGCAACAAGACAAATGTGGAGTAGAAGTCATATTTCCATGAGGACATCCTTACAACAAAGGCTTAACTTAACCATCAAAGGCCTATCTACTAATAAACATGGAAGAATTCACATTTGCCTTTCAAACAAACACACCTTTGAAGGCTTTCGTACCCTAGTCGATTGCACCATATCTTTAGCTCTCCCCCAATCTATCTCTCTACCTCAAGGCTAAACTAGCAAAATATGTACACGACAATTGAAGCCGTTACACAAAATAGAAACCAGAAATCTTGTGATGACCTCATAGCAACTGGTCATATGTTTGCCACTTGTGATGGCACTCTTGGATGGTTATGGTCACCCTCATAAGTCACAATTAGCATTGAAGGATCTTCCAAACATCTTTCCACATGCTTCCTAGCTGGGCAGCCTCTCATGCTACTGCACTTATAGTATCCCCTGCACATAATCATTCCAATAATAAAGATCGATATTATGTCAGTTCAAAGCCTAAGAACAGCATGTTTCTCAAATTACATACTTATCCTTTCAGAGAATTTAAACTAGATTTCACATTAATGTAAGAGAAGATCACATATTGTTTCATTCTTTAGTAGTTTCATGTTAATTAATTAATTTACCACCATGATTCATTTTCCTTACGCAAGAGTTTAAGAAAATAAAAAGGCAAAATGAATTTAAAGTTTGGGTCGAGATAAAAAGAAAGAAAAGTTAGGAGTTTTTTATTGTTGGTCGAATTGTTAATTTACATCAAGTTAAAATGTCATGAAAATATGATTCCTAAATCCATTACATCCACAGAATACGATTCAGAAATTTTAATAGAGGAAAAAAGGTTCAACTTTGGAGAGAAAGAGGATGAAGAATAATTTCTATTTTCCCTTTCCTTCATAATAGAAAATAGAGTAAAGTGTCTTTCTTTCCTTTATATGTCCCTAATTTCATTTTTCCCACATAGTGCATTAGTAACTACTAGTTCCAGTTACAAGAAATATTATGAAGGTAATTGATTCAAATATGATGTACATAGCAATACCTTGGGTGAGGAGAACCTTTGATAGGTTTTTGCCCATACTTCCTCCAAGAATATTCATCCTGAGGAATATCAGCTAACTTGTTACTAATAGCAGGAACTTTAATTGACCTTTTCACCCTATGTTTCCTGTCCCAAAACAATACCATTTGTGAGTAACGTGAAGAAAAGAATATAAAAAACAGCAGAAAATAATAATATAATACAACAGACCTCTTCTTAGAACAATGGCACCTACTACTGCTTCCACATTTGGTACTTCCATCTTCACCCCTCCCGCCGGAACACTTTTTCTTGTTTTGTTGCTGATACGCACTGAGGTCAGCAGAGCGCGACCCCCCGATCAAATGAAAGCCGTTTCCGTCAATATTCGCAATGCTCCCGTCAATACTTAGTGAAGACATAAACGACCGATTTGAAGTGCAAGTGGAGCTATCAAAATTAAGACTGATTCCACTATTGCTCCGCCGGTAAACCGGAACTAGTTTCTGTTGGAGGAAGTTATAATTTGCCATGGGTGCTTGGGTGTGGTAATGGTGGTGGGGTGGCTGAATCGGGGCCTTTCCATTCAAGTCATATGAAGGACTTCTCAATGTGAGAGTACAACTCCTATCCTGGTTCTGGTTATCCATGGGAATGGCTGGAAGAAGCTGCAAAGCTGATTGAGGGTGGTCATGGTGGGGTCTCCAGAGAAGCGGGTTTTCGAGAAGAATGTTAGGAGGTAAATGGGTTTGGATTTTCTTGACTTTTCTAACCCTAGCATGACCCAAGGTAGAATTCAGCTTAGAGACAACTTTTTTGAACTTATGAACAGCCTCCCCAGTTTCTACACTTAATTTCCCATATGAACTCTGATCAGTATTAGAATGAGATAACAAACTAATCACCCTATGGCAACTCTCAACCGCTTCCCTGTTTGCTTCCTCAATTTCCTCCATCTTCAAGTAATTCCCAGAAAGAACAGATAAATATATAAAAAAAAAAGAAAAAGAGAAAACTAAACAATCCCTAATTCCTAAAATCTAAACAACCCATCATTACATCTTCCATAATCCATGAAAAAATCAACACACAAGTGACTAAAGCACATCTTCAACACAACAAACCAAAGAATCTCGGTTTGTTGTGTTCTTCAAACAAACTCAAGAACTTCAACTCAGCAAAAGTGGCATCTTTGAAGCAGGACAGCAGTTTAAAGTTCAGATTCAGAAGGGAATCAGCAAAACAAGACATGAAAGAGAATCAATGTTTATAGAAAGAGATGACCTTCGGCTGGAACTTCGTGAAACCCTAGATTCTTCAAATCTCCATGAAAGACTTGTGTGATGGGAGAAAAGGAAGGTGTGAAAGAGAAGACTTTGGATTCATCACTGGAGGAACATCCAAACACACCGTTAGGAACACAAAGCTGCAATTTTTTTTGATAAGTTAACTATGAAGACGATTTTTTTGTCATTAGATAGATTAGATTGTTATTCCACCATGGTTGTCTTTTTTTTCTAGAGAGAGAAGGGTAATGAGACAGATTAGAGAGAGAACCTGAAAACTAAACAAGACTCGCAGAGACAGGGGATAGATAGAAGAAGAAATAAAATTTAATTAATTAATTAATAATGGGATTGGAAAATAAGACTTTGAGCAACAGAGAGAGAAAAAAGGGAGACGAAAAGAAGCCCAGAAGGGAAACTGCCGTCTCCGTCACAATTTCAAAAGTAGGACCCACGTTGGACCTTGGTAATACTCCTGACCTTTTTCCATTTATTGTTGTTCTTATTATTATTACCCAGTATTAATTTTAGGTGACAACTCCGATATCTTTTTAAAAATTGGGATATCGTACCTATCATGCATTTCATTGATCTAAATCATTCTATTTCTTTTAATTTAGATTTAATTAATTCAATTGCATCATTCTCATTGGTCCATGTGGACAAAGGTATTGTACTTTAAGGGTACCATAGAATCTATCTTAATTTTATTACAACCATTATTAATATTATTATGCTTTCAAAAATAAATATTATTATGGTCGTGTAGTTTCGCATAATCTTTTCTCGTAGTACCTACATGCATCAAGCTCTGTTTGAGATGCAAAATTACACACAAAATACTACATTCATCTCACTAAAAAGTTCTATGTTTGACTACACACATACTCCCTCCGTCTCCCAATTAAGTTCTCACTTTCCTTTTTGGGCAGTCCCTAAATTAAGTTTATACTTCAATACTTTCCTTATTTGCCAAATTATCTACATCAAAACAATGTCAAACAGTGTCCAACCAGTGTCAAACAGTGTTTAAACAGTGCAAAATAGTGCACTCCACAGTAAAGTCAAATTTATTTTCTTAATATGTGTGAAGTCAAACCAAGAACTTAATTGGGGGACGGAGGGAGTATTAAGGAAATAAATTTACCAAGAGGTAAATTTTACAGCTTTGACACTGTTTTGCACTGTTTTGCACTGTTTTGCACTATTTTGATGTAGATAACTTGCCATTAAAGGAAAGAGAAACTTATTTTTGGGATTGCTAAAAAAGGAAAGCGGGAACTTCTTAGCGGGACGGAGGGAGTACTCAATTTATGAATCGTGTTGCCCATGCGCTTGCAAGCCGCACGGAAGCACGTGAACGTCTCACATCAAAGGATTACTTATGATATGTGTGGACTCCTGTTATTGTAACTTGTAAGCCACATGACGAACGATTTGATTGATTAATAATAGGGTTGGATGGATGATTAAAAAAATACTCAATTTATAAAGTATGATTTCATTTGAGCCTTAAAATATTTTCCGCATTCTCTTTTGCAACACACTTTCATTTTCACACTTGCTAATACACAATTTTGATCATTAATAGATTTAGTTTATTGTTAATAAAAGAATAGATTTGAAAATTTAAAATGAAATGAATTGAATAATATTTTTGAAGAATAAATTTCCGAAACATTAATTAATGACATAAAATTGAACATGTGAAAAATGTAAAATTCAATATATTGTGATTATTTAAGAACGTATGTAATATAAGTCAGATGCTAATATGATAGGGAAAATATTTATTTGGATGAGCGAGAAGGATAAGCGTGACAAAAATAGTGAAATTGAGAAAATAGTGTATTTGGAGGAACAAAACAATACTTGCATCAAATATATAAAAAGAAAGACTAATACGGAGTATGATACAAAGGTAGTGCATATTTAAAGCCCATTTGGCAAACTCGTACGGAGTATAAGTTTATCAACTTTTTCAAATTTTTGCGCGCTGAATTGAGTAATAATTAAAATAAGTAATGCTGAAAATGCTTTTATGATTGAAATGCTTAAAGTTATTGCAGAAGAACATTTTCGTTATTTTTCACGTTTTTTTCTTTATTTTATTAATAAAATGTATTTTGAATATCATTCTTCCTTATTTCAGCATAACTTATTAATTTCAGTCAATTTAATAATGTTACAAAATGGACTCTTAGGCTATTAAGTAATAATGCAATTGTGAGGACGTTTGTAACTCATATTTTCAGCTTATCATATTTTCCTTTGTTACTTTTATTTTCGCGAGTTGAACTATTTAATGATCAAAATAAGTAAAGCTTAAGCTATTTTTTAGTTGAATTGACTAAAATTACTCTAGATGATCATTTTACCCGTTTTCTTAAAAGCTATGGGTGAAATTTGAGTAGGATAAAGTGTAATGATATGAATCATAGATTTAGTTAGTTCAATCATTTCCATCAAGGGCAGAGTCAGGGGTCGGGGTGGTCAGCCCTCCTCCCTCCAAAAGTTTGAGAGTATAAAACTCTGAAATACCTTCTATTTGGTATATTATGTCCATGTAACTCATTACGAGTAAAAAGTTATAATTTTTGCGAAATCAGCAATATCTAAACTTAAAATGGACTAGAAGAACGGTATGTTTGGCACAAATAACTGAAGAGATACTTTTATGAATTTTTTAGTGACTGTTAGCTTTTAGTGATTGAAAAAGTTTAAAAATAAAAAGATGGTAGTTGTTTGATAAAGAGCTAGTTGTTTGATTTAGTTGTGTTTGACATACAAGCAGTTGAGACTTGAGATCAATTAATGCTAAAAGTTGTAGACTTTTCTCATGCAACTCATTGTAGCATCTAAAAAAAGATCTTCTATTTTTAAAAATCTCTTAAAACTGTCATGTCAAACATTCAATTAGAAGTTTTTAGAGACTTTTTAAAAAGTACAAAAGCTATAAAACAGGGACTTATGCTCGAAATCTTGATATCAAGTCGGGTGTGAGGAGAAGGCACATGGCCTCATCCAAGGCAGCAATCGATGTGAAAACCCTTCTACTAAACAAGTTTGTAATACGAAGTATATATGATCTAACAATTATCTTAAAATGATCTAACATTTTATATAATTAAATTTCAACTCCCTGGTTGGTTTTTTTGACTGTGTGTCCGCCACTGATTTCAATTAAAATTTCATCCATTTAAACGAACCAGACGCTTCACCAATTCTAACATTGTCACACATTCACACCTGCCTTTAAGTTTACTCGTAATTGTTTGTTTAGTGGGATAAATTATTAATTTGATTAACCTAAAGATCGATGAAGAATCTTATAAAAACACTACTTTTACGACTTCCAATGTAGGTTGTCTTGTCTTGTCTCTTTCGGGGCATCTTTACCGTGTGATTTATGAACAATTCCGGAAAAGACCCAATTTGTTAACTATTTATATAAGGACCCCGATTAGGGAGCGACAAATTAGAGTTTGTTTGGTGGTCATATTTTTCGACTTATCAGACAACTATTGAGAAAATGGAAACTAATAATCCAATCTTTTAGCGGTCTTCTTATAATAGTCCCACTTTTTGATTATTCATAAATAATCCAACCTTTGCACCTCATCTTCATTCACTGGTCCCTGACCGGTTGATGACCTGTTATTCCAAGTTATTTTCTTATCTTTGCAAAATATTATCTTTGTGAAAGGTGAGATTTATGGTATAATGGTATTGCAAAATATTAGTTTCCATTTTCCCGACAACTATTTCATTAAACATGTAATTTTTTATTTGACACATTGAATTGTGTAATACTTAGTAATGAAAAATAATAATATTGAAGTTACTTTTTCTGATTGTATTGGTTGGAGACTGCCTGGAGTTATTCTAGAAACTTATTTTAGCTATTTTTATATAATTTTTTCTTTATTTCACAAATAGAAAATTGTTTAAATGTTATTTTTCAAAAATCAATACAGTCAGTCAATTCAACAACTGAGTCAGAACTTCATAATCAAATGCAAAACACGATAATTATTTTTTATTTAGATTCGGTAGTCTTTAAGTGAAATTATGTGGCGCCTAAAACCATGAAAGATAAAAATGAAAAAGTACACTAGACGACCAAAGACAAATCGTTGATATAGTCAGATTAAATGCGACTTTGTGAGACTATAATAATTGTTTTATTTTCAAACAATGTTATCCTACTGCTTCCATCTATGCTAGGTAAAAGTGTAAAGTCATCATAAATCATATTGTAAGAGTGTCTGTTGTACTCGTTGCATTTGTTTATTATGTACGATTGTACTCCCTACTTTGTATTCAGAGACCGTTTGGTAAATTGTCTGATTCTACTGAAATTTATGAAGTTTTAGCTGAAGTGGTTGTATTGACTGATTTTGCTGATTTATAAAAAAAATTAAAATATATTTTATTAATAAAATAAAGAAAAAATTATATGAAAAATAGCACAAATGGTTATCTACAGTAACGTCAGCCAATACAGACAGAAAAGTAACGTCAACCTTACTTTTTCTTATTATTACACAACTCAACGCGTGAAATCAAAAGTTACGTATTTGGTTAAAAAGTTGGCTGATAACATGATAAACAAAATAACAGAATGATCAAATGACATCTTAACTAAACTTAGTATATACTCTGTATTAGAGCCCGTTTGGTAATACACAAATCGGCTGTATTGGCTGATTCTACTGAAATTTATGAAGTTATGGCTGGAGTGGCTGTATTGGCTGATTCTGTTGATTTGTGGAAAAAAATCGAAATATATTTTATTAATAAAACAAAGAAAAAATTATATGAAAAAATGGCTAAAATGGTCCTCTACAGTAACTTCAGCCAATACAGCCGGAAAAGTAACTTCAACCTTACTTTTACTTATTATTACACAATTCAGCGCGCAAAATCAAAAGTGACGTGTTTGGTGGAAAATTTGGCTGAGAAGCTTGATAAGCCAAAGGGAAAAGGGGCAAAAAGCCCCTTGAAGTTGTCACTAAAGTGCAACTATGCCCTTAAACTATTTTTTTGTGCAAAAAACTTTAAAATCCTTAAAAAGAGAGCAATTAGCCCCTTTGTTGAACGGTGAAGAACTAACATGTATGGTACCGTTAATATTAAAATGACATGGACAATTTTTACTTTTTTAGTATAAATTAATAAAATAGCAGGGCAGATTTGCTTGATACTCTAAAATGATTAGGGTCGACTTTTCTTCAGGCTACCGAAACTAAAGTCCTTCAATTGCTGATTTCTCTTGACATAAGCCGTCTTCCT